TGCGTGGTGCTTAGTTGCTGCCTGGGGCTAAACCACGACAGCATATGACTTCATTATAAAGTCAAATTAGATTTTACTGATTACTGAATCAGTACTAGAATTATAGATGAGTCCGCTCTTCAAATTTTCAGATGCTAGAAATTTACTTGGAAATTCAGCTTATTATAGACTGTGAATTTTTGGCTCAGCTTGTTGTCAAGATGGCATTCAGACCTAACTCTGAAAATCCCACAGAAGATTTGGTGTTCCCATGTTGGACTTGAATCGAGGCCATCCCTACTTAAAATGAGCAAAGTCTAGGCAGTGGAGGCAGCGCATGCGGTATGTGAATTGTCTTGTCCTAAGCTAAGTTATGACCACCTCTACATCTTCCTTGTCTTTTATGGTACTAATTTAAACAGTGTACAGTGAGTAACTCTGAAAAAATTTATAACTGGATGTCAATGCTGTACTGAGAAATGGCCTGGATTGAAAGCAGCATTGTGTGAGCAAAGCCTGATGATACTTCACATTTAGTCTTTATTAGGAAATGTAGCTGAACCATTTAGAATTAAATCTTTGACAAACTACTATTTTTGTTAGATTGTTAAACTGGATTGCCTGCTTTATATGATATTTAGAAAGATCAGACACAAATGTTGTTTCCAGATTATTAATTCTCGTGCCAGGTCAATTGCCCATTTATTTTTAAATATTTATGATCATCTCAGTTTTGCCCTGATGTTGGTAATGGTTATGTTTATTTAGTCTTACGGTTTTCCAAGTTCTGGACACACAGACATGCTGAAGTCTTTTCAGCTCCCTTCTCGACTATACATCAGACTCATGGGATAGCTCATCTTCCAGACAGCTCTGAAAACCAAGGCTCTATCTCTTCTCGCAGCATATGCTGAATGCAATTAGGCACCAGTTCAGAAAATGCTTTGTAAACATTCTGAATCCATGCCACATTTTCTAGTCTCAGGAGCTGCCAAATTCCTAAATGCTGTATTCAAGCCAGATGTCTAAATATATAAAATGAATGACTGAACAAAGTGCCTCCTTAGTAGAGCATATGCCTATAGGATGGACACAGACAGACCTGAGGGGTCTGACATCACCTCCAGAACATGATGTTCTGCCAGCCCACATCCCTGGCTACTAGGAGGGAGAACAGAATATACTCTCTCCTGGAGGAGCTGTACGAGGAAGGAGCACCCTCACTCTCATTTTTTGCTCTCTGGGTATGGGATACCAAGCCTCAGGAATCTCTGCTAGCAGTATCATAAGGCAAACTCTGTCACTTCTCAGTGAGAACACCTGCCTCTGGGACACTGAAGTACTTGTTC